ATTATATTAACCTTGAACAATGCACACAAAAATGTGAATGGCATGACATCATCACCTCAAGCTTTTGCATGTAACATCATGATAAACATTTTCACAAATAGCAACTTTGCCAGGAAGCTCTCATTGAAATCTTGCCTTATTTTAATTTGATTCAAAAGACATAATCAGTAGACAAGTTGTATAATCTTCACAGTTTCTCCCATGAATTAAATATCTTTTTTTTTTTTTTTTTTTTTTCTTTAACATTAGAAATGGACAACAAATCTTCATTCAGAAAGTGACTATTACAGTAAAATGCACAGAAGGATTTCTAAATTTCCGAGGAAATGTGTTTTTATACACAAACATATATACACTAATAAATTTCAATAAATCCTTTAAATATTGAATAACAATTTTCTCTATATATAAACACACACACAAATTTACACATTTGCATACAGGATGGTTCAAACCTTTTGAGAAAATTTGCATCTCCTTGCACCAGAAGTATACTGGCTAACCACCAATGATGGTTAGTCTGATTACTGAGACCAAAACCTGCATATTGATGGTCACTGGCAGTCAGCCTATAGATAGGATGATGCAATAAATACAAATTTGATGACATCTTTCTCTATTTCTAATTCTCCTCAGCTTTGCAGAAAAGTTGAACAAATTACAAAAGCTGATCAAAAGCATGAATGCAGGCTTCATACCTTTGATTACCAAAATACCAGGCATTTCTCAAACAGTTGTAGCAGTAAAAAAAAATCCTGATAGTATGTTCTTCATTTGAATCAATGTGACTATCAAAAATGAAACTTTTAAATGCCTCTAGAGGAAAAACTCCAGACGTGGCATAGTAGGCAGTCATTCTGGCCAAGGAATGAGGCCATCCCCAAAAAAACCATTATCCTGAAAATGTTGCATCCAAGGTGTTCATCCACATTAAAATGGGGTAACATTTTATAATTTTGAAGCCATATATGTGTTTTAATGTTTGTGGAATTAAAATTCAATCATTCTGGTAAGACTTCCTGTAAAAAAATGTTTTCCACTCCATTTGGCTTGGCAAAGAAGATATGAACAAATTTAATGGTGAAGGATGATTCCAGTCCACACATTCATTGAGAAATAATACCAGTATCAATGTAAAAATGTGGTCTGCAGATTATAAGTTACTTATACATAATAATTATGGTAATTAGAAATTATGTTATATGCATTCGTCAATAAATTAGACATGTATATTGAAATTTGGGAAAGCTGGAGACTGCTGGAAAAGCATATTGCATAAAATTAATATGAAACTGATAAACTACAAGCATGTAATCATTTATTATGTAGTATGTGCCACACTTTCAAATGAGACAATTTATGGCAATAGAATTTTCTCAAGTCTTACATTTGGGATGATCTCTAATTCTGCATAGAATTTCATGGTGTCCTTGCACCCCTTGGATATCCTGTATTCAGCTAGATGCTGACAAAAATATTATTATTTCTCACAGATACTCACAGATAATTATCCCAAAAATGTAATAATCTGACTTGCAACTCTGTACTCAAAATGACTGTCCCCCTTCTCCTGATTTGTTATACATCTCAATCCTCTAGAAATCCACGGTAGAAATGATAAGGACGACAAAAATCAGTTCTTACATGCCTTCACCAGAACATACCCTTTACTGCTACAGTGCTTGAATTACCCCTATGCATCATATAATGAAAAGTAGCTATACAGATTTGTTCTTTTTCTTCTAAAAGTTTTCTTGAAGAGTTTTGAATCACATCACATACATTATAGTGAAAGCCCAGAGTTGGCCACTTTTCAAAGCCAGCCAATCTCACCAGAGCCTGAAATATATAACAACTTAACCATCCCTTCAGGCTTTGGCCAGCTAGTGGAAATTAATTGGTCAGTTAAGTTAGTGCAAATTGGCCAAAATTCAAAATTACCTTTATTTTATTTTATTCTAATTATTTATTTTTATTTTTATTATTTCCATGAAAGTAGTGTTCTTGATAGATGAAATGTATATTTCCTATTCAATGATGTAATTTTCTAAAGCTATATTTTTGTCATTAGTATCATTGTTCGTACATAATTTGAAATCTTTATAATGATTTCTCAACACTGAAAAGCTAAGATTAACTAAATGATAAAATAAGTAAGGGAAAAAATACAGTAAGTAAACACGTGATGACTTCATCACTATGATGCTTTGGCATTAGAAACATCCCTAACAAAATCATAATTGTGGTATAAAATACTTACAGTTAGTTGTCATCAATTCTCTCAACTACCCACACCAAGTTACATACACTAATTGGCAAGTTATCGTCTCTTGTATTGTTCAACTATTAAAAAGACAGAACTCAAAAGTAAAATTTAATATAAACTCCATGACTTCTGGGTGTTGCAGCTAAAATGAAAACAAACTATATTTTGACTTCTCATCAACTTTACAACATCAGTTGCTTGCCAGTATGCTCTTGTTACAAAGCTAATGAGAAAATAAGATGATTACAAACATAAATCCTATATAAGTCTACCACAAACTTTTAGTTAAATGGAAATAGTCTAATTTTTCCCGCTGAACAAGATTCATCAAAACCTCAGCAGTTCTATCATTGTTCTGCAAGCAGTTTCCATGGCAAAGCAATAGAATTATAGAATTTCCAATCCTCACAACACTAAGGTTATATCCTCGTTTTAAACTATGCCACTTGCTGTATAATTTACACAAACTTCTCATCGGAAGGAGTATTATAATGAGACAATGAACATGTATAGAAACTAACATAAAATTTAAGTCATAAAATTCTGTTCAAAATTTCTTAATGGAATATTACATTTCAACATACTTATCACTCATGTAATTCAACAGTTAATTTAAATTTACTCTGCTATTTCACAGTGGTAATCTATGGGTCACAATCAGTATCCTTAAATTACTGTTGCCAAGCTCTTACCTTATCAGTAACCAGTTACTTTGATGATCATTTGTGTCTTTCAGTTTAATTTGATTTTAAATTACCTGTCTAAATTTACCACACTGCCTTACACAGGTGAAATAATGATATCAGTGACCATCAACATGTAGGTCATAAGGTATCATCAACCTTGGTAGATGCATGATTCTAATTTTAATTCAATTTAATTCTAATTTTAAAACAAAAACAAAATTAATTGCATCTCCTTGCACCAGAAGTCTACTGGCTAACCACCAAGGATGGTTAGTCTGATTACTGAGACCAAAACCTGCACATTGATGGTCACTGGCAGTCAGCCTATAGATAGGATGATGCAATAAATTTAAATAGCTTTCTAATTAAAATTAAAACAAAAGATATACATTCTCATCAAAGCTGTCAGTCACACATGACTTAGAGACTGACACTGATCTCAAATCAAAAGAGTAAGTAATGCAATAAATTTGGATAGATTTTGAATTTAAAATTAAACTGAAGCACACTAGTGCTTGTAAAACCTGCTGATCAGCAGTTCCATTACTGGTAACCCTTAGGTGCTAGCAATCAACTAGGTCACTGGTGTGGGCCAGTGCAGTAGATTAGTTACAGTACTAAATCAAATCAAGCTGAATGACATTGATAAACGTCTAGAGTAAGGTTTCTTAAACGTTTTTCAGTCATGACCCCTTTTTATCACCAAGATTTTTTTGTGACCCCAGGACCCCATAATATTTACGAAAATTTTGTGGGACCTCATAAGTATTGTGCAAATCACACAAATGAGTGAAACTGTCATTTTTTTCACTTGTACTGTAATATACTATCCTAGTTTTAGGTCATTAACTTTAATTTCTAATTTTAAGACATAGGACAATTTGAAAATTTTAAATAAATAGCAGACGAAATGACAGAGTCACGTGTAAAGCAAGTAAAATGAACGTTTATATTATAAAAAGAATGCGTCAAAACGTTTTCGTTTTTTCCTTTGTCTGTATTGTCTTATTTTTATCTATTTTCAGATACATTTGTGTAAAAGTATATGGTAATTGTAAAATTATTATAAATAAGTTAAAGAAATATCGAAACTGCTAAAATTTTTGCCGACCCTCTGCTGCAGGTCCGCGACACCCAGTTTAAGAAACCCTGATCTAGAGCATTCACCACCATTGATCAATGATGGTCAGTCAACAATGTTGGGTGATGCAATGTTTGTTGCAGTGGTAATAGATACCAATGCAAATGGATGACAAGTACATAGCAGAATAACCTATGCAGGCAATGCTCAAAATTTTAAAAAGACTCTGCTAAGGATGTTTCTAACATCAAAATTAAATCATAGATCATTTTTAAGATAATTATGTGTTTTATCTACATAAAGCGAATTTTATTTGAGAATCATGTACTTCTTTTATCATTTATTTTCTCTTAAATTATCTTTTGTTTCATTTTAATTTATCTTATTTTTTTTCTAGCAAAGAAATTATTACATTTATAATTATATACTAATTTGGAAATTTAGTTTTTAAAAGCCTCACCATTGATTAGCACATAATTTTTCATCAGCTATGAAAATCAGTTTTGAGAAAAATCTCTAAAGACAAAATAATGATAATTTCCAACTTTGGCCAATTTAAGAAAGAGCCAGTAATAAGCCTGAAGTAATGATGAATTGTTGCATAGTTAACGTTTTGACTAGATCAGCTGCCCAAATCATGAAACATCAACTTTTCAGGCTTTGGCCATAATACATATATCTACCTTAGCAAACTATAAATATTAACAGCAAAATAACAGAGTGAAAGGAAATACAATGATTAAAGTGCTGTTGTTTTTAAAAATATTTCAAAAATTAGTTGTACAAATTATTATTTCCCTCAAGTTAATAATAGTTTATAAATATCAATAGTTAAAATATGATTAAATAGTGAGCAATAACTTGAAAAATTCCCTATATCTTATTAAATCTTGTCAATGTAGTAACATTAATTTATAGTGCAAAAAGTAAAACATGAAAAATTTCCTTAATAGCAGTAGAAAAGTACCTAAGCTTTCACTGGTTTCCCAAATAAATTCCATTGTTTTGCTTCTTTCTCGCCAAGCTTTGTCCTGGTAATGAAGGCGTCCAAGGAAAAGACCATCAAAACTCATCTTGAATTAAAAAATTATGTTAAAGACATGTGCAGTAAAAATAAAATGAACAAAAAGGAAATACCTTCAATTAAATTCATTGAGAAATTAATCATATCAAAAGTATTTAAACAAATCATTTAAATTTCATTTAAAATTAAATATTATTTAAAACTGCAGTTATATTGAAAATGTTAATCACTTAAGATAAAAATGCATTTAATATACAGGATCCCTTTAAACCATCAACTCATTAATTAAAATAACCTGTCTGCAACCATACCAATAATGCTTTGTCTACTTTGTAGAGGAAAAGGCGATTCTGTCTTAAGTGATAGGAGTCACATTCTACAGAGATGGAGGAAGCACCTAGATGAGCTCTTGAATTCTGACTTGTATACAGGGAAAAGTGAAATAACAAACAGAAACCTAAGGTATTTTGATCTTGCTCCTCAATCTCTTTAAGAGATTAATTATGCTATAAAGGTATTAAAAAACAGTAAATCTCCTGGGCCAGATAGTATTCCTTTAGAACTATTAAAAGCTGCAAAACTAGTTACATTCTACTATTCAAAGAATTAATTCAACTTATCTGGGATTATGAGACACTCCCAACAAAACGGAAACTTAGTACTGTCTGTCTGATGCACGAAAAGGAAGATGTGCTAAATTACAGTAATTATAGACGAATTAGTCTTCTTTATACATCCTATAAAATTCTTTCAACTTTCTTTTTAATAGATTCTTACCTAACGTTGATAATGCAATCAGTGATTATCAATGCGGCTTTATGAAAAGAAGATCAACTATTGAGCAGATTTTCAACATAAGACAGATTTCTGAAAAGTGCAGAGAATTTGGAATCAATACACACAATCTTTTTATTGATTTCAGAACTGTGTATGATTGCATTAATATGGCATTACTTATACAGGCCATGTGTTAACTTAATATTACATAAAAAATTGTTTCACTTTTGGCTTTGACTCTTAAGGAAACCAAGATACAAATTAATTTACAAGGTGATCTTACAGAACAACTTGAGTTCAAGAATGGAGTGAGACAGGAAGATGCCAATACTAGAGGAAATATATTTTTATAAGACTATTCAATTACTGGCTTATGCAGATGATATTTGTATTGTTGCCTGTACTGTTTCTGCTCTTAAACAGACATTCATGGCATCGGAAAAAGTGCAAAAAAGGTTTAACCTATTAACGAAACTAAAACTAAATACAGGTCTTGTTTAAAACCTGACTTACCACTTAGTCATTTAGAAGTTAGTTGCTACAGATTTGAAAAAGTTAACAGTTTCACTTACCTGGGAGCGGAGATGAATTGTACAACTTCTGAAATAGTTAAAAGAACCTCTGTTGCAAACAGAAGTTTCATAGCCTGAAGGGCTATTTAAAATCCAGCTTTCTCAAGTTAATAACTAAATTACTTCTTTACAAGAGTCTTATAAAATCTGTTCAGACTTGTGTGTTGGAAGCTTAGGCACTGATTTTACATGATGAGAAAGCTTTGGGAATTTCTGAGAAAAGGATTTTGCACTGCATAATTGGTGGGGGTCCATGTGAATAGATCATGGAGAAGATCTAAATTAGAGCTATATAAAATCTATACACAATCTGATGCAGTAAAATGCTTCAAACTACAAAGACTTAAATGGGCTGGTCATATGGCCAGAATGCATGAAGATCAGTGTTGTAAGAAAATCTTTTTGGCAAAACCCATAGGAATCAGACCTCACAGAAGATCCCCTAGTGACATGGCTCGATTGTGTTGAAAATGACTTAAATATTCTAAAGCTCAAAAACTTGAAAATAGTTTCCAAAAGCAGAGATGCCTGGAGGAGACTTCTGGAGAAGGCCAGGGCTCACCTTGGGCTTTCAAGCCAATGAAGAAGAAATGCTTTGTCTAGCAAGAGATGTCTTAAGATTTGGGATATATAAAACTGTTATTTAGCAAGAATGCAAATACATAAAACATATGTATATACTAATTAAAAAATTTAAAAAACAAACTTGCATGTTATCTCATCGACTGCAAAATGTGGCTATTATCAAACTATAAAAGATGGTGGAGATTCAGCCAAAGTTACAACAATCATTCCTGATGAATTCTGAAGCAACTGATGCCTCTTTATTTAATAAACAATGAGTATTTGACTGGCTTCCTTTTTTTGCTCTTTAAAAAGACTTTTATCAATTTCTATTGTTTGGCTGAGACCTCTGATTTTATTGGAAGCTCTGGTTAATAAGCCCCTTTTTACTTCTACGAAGTAAAGGAAGTATTGTAATCGCAAAATTTTTTGGATATCATATTTCAATGAAATTATCCATTTTAAGAGATTTTCTTCATGATGTCTGTGCATATGTATGTACGTATGGAAGAGCCATTACATTATGACCACCCTCCATCTATAACAATGGGCTCACCCAGGAACAAAACCACTGCACGTGTGTGTCACTGATGTTGGAATATATAAAGCAGCTATGCATTGTCTTTCCAAACATAGCACGATTAGTGACATAATGGGCATAGAAACTGATTTATCAGATTTCGATAAAAATCAAATCATTATGGCTCGGTGACTCAGAACATCAATATCAGAAATAGCAAGTTTAGTGGGCTGTTCACATAAAGTTGTTGTGAGCACATATCGAAAGTGGTGTATGGATTGTGAAACGACAAGTCACCGACCAGCAGTGTGTTGTCGATGAAACATTGATTCCAGAGGAGAGAAGAGAATGCTATGCATTGTTCACTGTGACAAGATTTACAACAGCCAAAATCACCACCTATAACAGTGGCGCCCCAGACAGCATTTGTCAACATATTGTGCAGTGTACATTGCTGCCTATGGGCCTATGCAGCCGGAGGCCGAAGCATGTCCCTGCACTGATGGCATGTCATCGGCAGCTGCATCTGCAATGGGCCAAGAAACATCGGTATTGGATATTAGAAGAATGGAAAAAGTTGCATGGCCTGCTGAATCACATTTTCTGGTCCATCACATTGACGGGCGTGTGACGGGGTGGTGGTGATGGTGGTATTATGGTGTAGGCGGAAGTTTTCATGGAGCACATTAGGACCCATAATCCCCACAGTACAGTCCCTGATGTTTGTGCACTACATGAAAATCATTGCAGGCCAGGTTTACTTATTCATGACAATAGTATTTCTGGCGGGCGATGGTGTTTACCAACAGGATAATGCACCATGTCATAAGGGTCAAATCGTCAGGGATTGGTTTGAGAAACATTCCAGTGACTTTAAGGTCATGCCTTGGCCTCCAAATTCACCTGGCATTAATCCAATAGAGCATTTGTGGTCTCCCCTGGAAATCCAAATTCATGCTGCCATGCTACCCCCTCACAATGTGCAGTAATTGCAGAACCAGTTGGTCAGCACTTGATACCAGATACCTGAGACTACCTATCAGCATCTTATGGAGTCAGTGCCACGCCAGGTGCTGGCAGTTTTGAGGGCTAAAGGAGGTCCTACATGTTATTAACAGGGTGGTCATAATGCAATGGTCCTTCAGTGTGTATAAATATACTGACTCTGTTAGAGAATAATAGAAAAAAGAGAAAAGGAACAGGGCAAACAGTGTATAAAGTAAAAAGCTGATTTTAATTTTAAAAAATTATAAAAATTAATACCTAGATGAATTTCAGCTTTTAATTGATTGAAAGAGAATAAAATTAAAACAACTGTAGACTATTATATCATGAATATTCAACGTTAAGATTACCTGAGAAAATAACGAAGCCTGTTCTTTAGAATGACCAAATGTGTCTATCTGCCATCCGACTTTAGTTCTTCCACATGTTCCAAATGTTTCATTCAGCCATCGCAATCCAATAGTCATTTGATCAATGATAGCCAAATAATGTGTTGTGGCTTCATCATTCATACTCCATCCACCACTAATAAATTCCAAACGTCCTAAATTTATACAAAATGAGAAAAATATTGTATGTAAAAGCAACATTTTAGATCACTCGTTAAAACAGTTGACAAGGAAATAGAAACTAAGACTGAATGTTAAAGGAAATACTCAATTATAATTAAAAGTGAAAACAGAATAAGCAGATTTGCTTGTTTTATTTTCGCTTTTAACAAAGTCATTTCTTGAAATCTGTGTTTTACACAAAGCTGTCATAAAAAAAGCGCTGCAACTGTGTAATGCTCAAATAAATCCCAGAAAAAAAGAAACAGGATGAACAGCTGAAAAATGTTAAAGAAAAATGGTTGGTTTTCTGGGCATATATGTATGTTACTGAATTATTGTATAAATTTCAAGAAAATATTTTATTATAAATAAAAATAAAACAGCTACACAAAATATTCAGCAGGACTTTTCAATTTTATTTGCATTGTTTTTCTAACCCTTTCACATGAACCTGAAAGACTGAAAAGCAAGAAAAGCGATGAAATTTTTTAACAGAAAGAAAAATGATGTGAACTTATTGTGGCTGAGGAACAACCATTGCATCTGTCACTTTGGGCACTTTAAGTGAAATTACAAGTTTGTCCACCTCAATTCTTGGTTTGAAGGAGAATTCCCCATAGGATGGTTACAAGAGTATCAAACTCCTCTTTCCCTACTACTAACAGAAGTTTCTGCTTGATAGTATTTTAGGTGCTGTCCTGCTTCAAAATCCCCTACACTTACAATATTCAAGCTTGTTCGATTAATCAGAACTAAGGCCCAAGGATATGGTAGATACCTCCCTTACCACAATGCCCACAGGGTGACTAGTTACACAAAGAATATATGGAAAAAAAAAAAAAAAAAAAAATTGGAAACTTTCAGATTTTACATTACATCCAAAGGGTCATTTTTACAAACATTTTGTATGTTACCTTTACTTGTTAAATATCATGTTCTTCACACTTAAACCATAAAATTCAGTTCAACAGCAATATCACAAAATAATTTTTAAATGGTCAGATCTTTAGAATTTCCGGTACAGAATCTCGTGCGCTGGAGATAAAAATGTTTGCTACAAATGTTTGCCTCAAAGCTACAAACTTTCTGCGCATGCGCAAACGTGCATATGCGTTTACGCATGCGCATAATATGTTTACGCTTGTGCGTTTAATGTATAACGGATGGTATAAGATAAGCTAAAATTATCTAATTATCTATTTCAGTTAATGTTGCAGATTGCATTGTTCCTTAATCTTCTAATTGGATCCGGCTTATTATTTTTTGCAGACTGTTAGAGCAATTTTATAAAAGTAAGCTTGAACTTTCGATTATGTCAAAAAGAATTTGCTATTCTGGAGCTGCCAAAGGATCTACAAAGCGAAAGCATGTTTCGATGTCCATCAAACAAAAAGTGGAATTTCTGCAAAAAATGGATAAAGGCATATCCTTTGTTTCTCTAACCATTCCGAAATCTGTTTATCAATTTCACGCTGCTCTTCGGAGGGGGGAGGACGTCGCGGCGCACAATGAACTGGAAGTTCATCTGTCAGCACTATCCTTATCTTCAGGGCAGATGTTTTTATTTTATTTGGCTTATAATTCCTTACTAAATGTAGTATTTCATCTTGATGTACTCCGTCTTTGATATGATTTAAATCAAATTCCTCGTCATTACAAATTTCACAAATACACATCAAATAGTTTTCTGGTTGCAATTTGCTAATTTCTACTATGCGTAATGTATACTTTACGCATGCACGCGTTGAAAGAAATGTTTAATAAAGTAAACAAATAAATATTAAGCTTTTTTTTTTTTTTTTTTTGTAAAATTTTGATACCCTTTAGATCATAATTGCTCTTTATTTCATAAATTATGGTTTCATATTTTTAATTTTATAATTTCTGCATGCCATCTTTCCCAGGACTTAGAAGAGAAGGGCTAGCTCATAGAGCTTTTCCCCCTGAAGCAGAAAGTGAGAAGTGATGACGTAGCCATGATGACACTGAGCGCGCCAATATAATTCACAGCTTGGAAATTAGCGTTTTTTAACCAGCGTTTAAAATGAGTTGAGTGTGAAAAATAGTTATAATTTGGAAGAGGCAATGTTACTGCTTTATGCATTTTAGACTGAACCATTAAAAAATTTAATAATGCTTACTCAATTTTAAAATAATAGATAAAATGTGCTACTCTTTTAACATAAAGTTCCGTGTTTTTTTTTTTTTTTTTTATTATTTGCAGGGTTTTTTTATTTAATGCACGTTTATTTTAATCATTTCTTTATTTGCATGCTAACTGAGAGAATTTTTATACTGCTTCTAAGATAACTATAATAGCAGCTATTTAAATTTACTCAAAAACAACTTTACATTGACATAGGTTTAAACATATATATGGCAACATTTCTGCTAACCTACGTTTGATTTTTTGCCTAATTGTAAATTTTACATTGTTATAATTCTCTTCCGATTCAATATAATAGATATTTTTTAAATAATTTTGTAATTTACTTATATCTATATTACAATTAAATAAATGTATATAAGATTGTTACCTTAATTTTGACAAAATAGCTTTATTCAGAGTACCTAAAACAGTTATTTAATTTTTCAAAGTGTGAGTAAAGGAAGCAGGTCTTTTTATGCCAATTACTTTGATGTTTTATACTATTATATTTTATCTAGAGTGCTAATCTAGCACAAATCTAATCTAATCATAATTAGTTACAAAAGGATACATAAGAATAACTTTAACAAGTACTTAACAAAATTAGTTTGTTAAATACTTGTTATTCTGTTGGTACCACTTTGGTACTATTCATAAATACCGAAGATATTATCGATTAACTCATAGAAGTCAGATGCTTTTTGATTTCCTGTGGGGTAGAGTATACCTTTTGGGGTACTTTTTGAAAATAATTTTTTCTCTGGAGCGACTTTTGTCTCTCGTTTCAATTGACCATTAAATAATTTGGTTTTAGTTTGTGACACAATTTGATTTCTTCTCAATCTCTATTTAAAAAACCTCTTTAATAATATCAAAATTTAAAACATTTTACATCTTCTAAAACAAATCCTCTATCTCTAAAACGCGGTTTCTCAGTAATTTGAGGCAGAGCGCGAAATGAGACCTCTGATTAAATAAACTGCACATTTTGAAAAGAACCAACTTGTCCAGTTTAGAGTCATAGCAGAGTTTTCAATCTATATGCATTTCGTCAAACTGAGAACACATATTTTTTCTACAGAATACAAATATTCGCCTTTTTCCTTCTTTAGAGTAAGAACATTACTTTGAATTCTTGGACCACACTAAAATTTAGAAAACACTAAAAAATAAAATAAAGACCATTTCTTTAATTTAATAATACTAGGTAAAGATATTCCAATTTTTTTCTTAATTTTTTTTCTTTCCAAATATCATAACTTTAAGATGACAGAGCTCTTATGATAATGCAACGTGAAATATTTTTACTAGTCCACCTGATTTTTTTCTTCTTTTTCAGTACTAATGCATTAATCTGCGTCTTTATAAAAATAGGCTTTAGACATTTTTCCAAATTCTCCGATTGGTGCTTCCCCCCCCTAATTTCGCTATTTGAGATTTTAATTTCTGATACCAATTTCTGTCTAGATGTCGTTCACCTTCTTTGTCGCTGAACAAACATTCTAAAATTTTTCTTTTCTCTATTTTTCAATACTTTAATACAATTTTCTAAGGATATTATTTTGTTCTTCAAATTATCAATGCATTCTTGTTTATCCTTAAACATTCAGAATGATCTACATTTCATTTTGTGAGTTTTTATTTCAAAATCATTAAAAATTTGATTTATTATTATCAGCATCATTTCGATTTATTATTGTCATCATAATTTACTTTCGGCACAGCATTCCATTTCAAACAGTTTTCTTTTTGTGGCTATCCAAACAAGCGATTTTTCATATCATCTTCATAAACACTGCATAGAAAATGTTCGCTGCAGATTTTTCCGCTCTTCACATTAATAGAATCTTCTCTTTGACATTTGTGTATCCATTCTTCGTCAAAAGCAAACTCTCATTTGGATCCTTTGGTCCCATGAAATAAAAATATCTCATCCTTTCATACTTCTGTAAGTGCTACGGCACGTTACTGCAGCGCAAAAAGCCATATTACGTAAACGATACTTTACAATATAGAATTTAAAATAAAAACTGTCTAAAATTACAATATAAAAATTATTTTAAATATATACATTATTAGAAAACAGATATATATTATTAAAATTAATTTGGGATATGTAACCTCTAGAAAATCGTCTCGCAGCTCAATGAAACTACTGTTTTTAAACGCGGGAAATCAGGACAGGTAGCATCACAGTGACGTCAGAATTATGCCTGTTACGTCCCCCCATTAGGCTCGCGTCGGCGAGGAGTCGAACAAGAAATGAGTTAGCCCTTCTATTATCCCTGATCTTTCCCGATTTTTAAACTAATGATCTATAAGGGGTGTGAGTGGTGGCGCAAAAAACAGAGATAATTATGACGCGCAAACACAAGATGGGTGATTCCAATTGAGTCATTAAATTCAAAGAATAAAAAAAGTAGATAAATGTACCAAATCCAGAGGATGAAGTCATATAAAAACCAAGTTAAAAGCACATATTAAAATTCAAGGACACAGTCTTCAAAACAAATTACATTAGGTAATAAAAGCCAATCTCTTTTAAATAATAAAATAAATTACAATTGACCTCTCTTCCGATTAAACGGTCGAGAGGTAAGTCACAGCTATTAAAATATTTCTGGCGAAGATTATTAAAACATGGACACTCAATTAAAATATGATGAACAGATAAACAAACATTACAATTTAAAACAACAGGCTCATTTCAGCTTTGAGAAGATAGTATGTGTGACTCTAGTGTGACCAATTCTGAGGCGAGTCAAAAGAACGTCCTCCTTACGATTTCCAGAAAAATCCCAATGCTCAATTCTAGGCTTGACGTTTTTTCAACTTGTTGTGATGCTGAACATCCCAAATTTGCTGCCATT